TGAAGGATGCGATGTTACGCGCTCCCGCCCTCCGCATTTATGATCCCACCCTACGTACCAGAGTGACTACGGACGCTTCCGGATACGACATTGGTGCGATATTGGAACAACACGAAGGTGATGATTGGCACCCGGTCGAGTACTTCTCCCAAAAAGTGGCCCTCGTCCATTCTCTGGATGATGCTCAGAAGAAAGAGTTGCTGGCTTTCGTCACCGTTCTCAAACGATGGCGACACTTCCTCCTCGGGCGTCGGCGTTTCACATGGAATACAGACAACAATCCGTTGACCTACTATAAAACGCAGGACACGGTCACAAGCACGATCGGCCGATGGATGTATTTCATCGACCAATTCGACTTCGACCCTGTCCACATTCCAGGCCCCGCTAATCGAGCAGCGGATGCACTATCACGGTGACACGATTTGTGTGCCTTGGTGCCCGATACGTTTCAGTTGGACGGCGATTTGCAGCAGCACTTCGTCAATGGTTACAAGTCCGACCCGAAGTACTCAACACTTTATGCAGATCTTTCATCAGATCACCCGCTGGCAGGGCATTATCGCATCTCCGACGGGTATTTGCTTCTCCACACGCGAGGGAAGGACTTGTTATGCGTGCCACGCAATCGCATCTTGCGTACTCGCCTTCTTGGCGAATTCCACGACTCGCGACTCTCGGCATACCTTGGCGTCACCTGTACTTTGGCATGTCTTTGCCAGCGTTTTCACTGGGAAGATGTCCTTCACGACGTCAACAGCTACGTGCAGTCATGGGCAGTTTGCCAGCGTAACAAAGGATAGCATCAGCTTCATTATGGCGAACTCGAACCAATGTCGATTCTGCAAGAATCGTGCTTATCCATTGCTATGGATGTTACCGGCCCGTTTCCCCGCGATCGCCTTGGTTATGATGACATTCTCACGGTCGTTGACCGTTTGAGCAAGTACGCCAGATTTCTTCCTTGCAAGTACCATGCTGCAGCACCCGAGCTCGCACGACTCTTGCACACTGGCTGGATTTGCAGCCATGGTGTTTCGAAAGACATCGTGAGCGACCACGACACTCGCTTCATGTCAACATTTCGGACATCCCTCATGGTTGAGTCCGGCACGACAATGAAGCCGAGTTCCACTCAACACCCACAGACGGATGGACAGACGGAGCGGGCGCATCAAACCGCCTAGATGATGCTCCGTACTCTCATCCGTCCACACCAGAAAGATTGGGTTGACCGCCTTCCGGATATCGAGTTCGCCTACAACACTTCGGTGCACCCGGCGATCTATGTGACTTCATACGCGTAGCATCACAGTGGATGGAAAGGACGTATCTTCGCTGATCTTCTTCTCCCCCGGGCCGCCTACATCGACGTCGCTTGCTCTCCTGCTTCCATTCGGAAATACAGGGACTTGCTGATCAAAACCCGAGCAAACATGCAAAAGGCTCAAGTCCGCATGCAACAGCAAGCTAACCGACGTCGTTTCCCATGTCCTTTCCGTGAGGGTGACCTTGTCTGGGTCCTTGCTGAGGAATTCGCGCTTGAGTAGGATGTCTCTCGCAAACTCCTCCCCAAATGGTTCGGACCTTGGAAGGTAATTTCTGTAGCCGACAACGACCCTGCGGGCCCTTCCTTTGTGATCAACATCCCACCGCACCTCACCGTGCACCCGGTCTTCCATGCATCGAAGTTGGCGATTTACACACCGCCTTCGGCTGACGAGTTTCCACGCAGACGATCACAGGACCCGCCCTCCATGGACGGACATCCGGAAGTTGACCGTGTCATCACGCACCACAAATATGGCAACAAACCAATGCAGTACCAAGTCACGTTCAAGCAATGCGACCCCGATGACACTCGCTGGATCTCCCGAGCAGATTTACAGGCATCAGCACCACTCATCTTCTCTGAGTACGAATGATGGCGACTTGCCAAGGACACCTGCGCCATCCAGGTTTCAGACAGACAACTGTGCCCTCACAGATAGCTCGGTCTTTTAAGGGGGGGAGTGTGCTACATACTAGATTCCACACGGGCCCTCTTAGGCCCGACGGCTAGGTCTAGGGGGTTATCCCAGACCGTGGCCATGGTGGGCCAGTCCGGCCTGGGTTAAGGGCCGGACCTTTGAAAAGGTCGACGGTAGGCCCCAGCAACCGGTTTTAGACCCGGGTCTGCTACTGCAGGCCCTGAGCGGGAAACCGTCTCAAACGTGTTTCGTTTCAGACTGGTGGCGAAGTTTGAGGCTGCCACTTCCCCGTGGGTCCGATCTGAACCGCAAACTGGTTTTGACGGTTCAGATCACGGCGCGGTTTCCTCAGCAGCCAGGCCGAACAGGCCAGCAGTCTCTTCGGGACAGACTTGGAGGCGCAGCATTCAGGAGCAACGCTGCGCTATTTTTGTATTAGCGCAGCTCCAGGCAGAGCGCTAGGTGTAGCGCTAGCTGCAGAGGAGAGAGAGAGAGAGAGAGAGAGAGAGAGAGAGAGAGAGAGAGAGAGA